ACGAAGAAAATGCTGCGCCAACCAACGATTGGGCCGAGCTATAGTTTAAACGTGACTTTCAAGCCCAAGTTAGTCGCTATCGGCTGGGGCTTGCTTCCTCGGTCAAATAACAGTCAGTCGCTTGATCATCACCTTTCAAAGCATCTTCACTCGCATTAATTAACTCTTTGATCCGCCGCGACGGGTTGACACACACACACACACACACACACAAACCCACCGTCGCATCTCACACCCCCCCGCTCCCATCATGCCTGCTCCTGCTGCCGAACTGTCTCCTCTTCCCATTCACGAAAAGAGGGGAGGCTGATGTGTTGCTGGTGTTCACATTCCCTTCCTTTTTTTCAGCCGTTTGTGACCTGAATGGGCGATTTTTTGGCGGTCGCGTCGTGAAGGCCGGTTTCTACGATGCCGAAAAATTCCGCAACCTCGAACTCACAGACGCGCCAATGCAGGGATGACGGAGAGGATTCTGCATTGTCTTTTTTTACAGTTGTCCCCTTCCTCCCGCCCCCCTCCATGTCCTTCCCCTATTATTTTGGCTGGCGTCTGTTTGGATGAATGCAACGCCTGTCTGCAGACCAACTTCAGTGTTACTTCTGTGCACACTTTATGCTCCTTTACGTACATGTCTGTGCAGTTTTCTGGGCTTTCGTCGTCTGCTCGGCACCTGTGGGCTGGTGTTTGGAATGGCTAGCTGACGCTAACCAGCCGGCCAGAAACGTTTGTATAGGTAGATAAGAAGAACGCACAGCAATAGCCGGAGTTATGGTTTTAATCGTGTGAACTTTCGAACTCTTACTGGAGTTCATCATCAGAGATAAAACCGGTAACGAGAAACAGGCAACAGCCCACCAGGGACGTCAGTCCTAAGGTGGCCGCGCAGGGCTCTGTATACCGGCACCAGATCGATAAATCGATTGACTGAGCTCTCATTTGAGGCCCGGGCTTCAGTAAATTCTCGGCCTGGGGTGAACGATTATATTCCCGCCTGTGAAGTTAAATTCGTCACTCGTCTCGTGCGTGTGGACAGTCATTTGTGTTAATGCTTCAACTCGTATGCGCGAATTGAGCATGTTCCCAGTCTGTCGTGCGTAGTCTTACGGGTAGTTAGGGCGTTATAATGCGATACGCTACAGGCGATTGCTCACCGGAATTTAACCGGTTCTTTGTTTTCCTTACTTGGTTGCGCATGGTAGCCTTAGGACTGTGTGAAATTCCGACGTCTAGTCCCATAGCAATGCGCTCGGTCGATTCGGACACTTCCTTGATATATGTAAGCGCATGCCATATCGTATAGGCTGGT